TAAATAATGCATTAGCCGTTATTAATTCGCCTCGTTAAAAAACACTTGCTCGTTAACTTGCGCGCTGAAAAATTCCGTATTGTCGTTTGCCTTTTCCCACACGCACGCGCGTCTTTCTTTCCCCAAACAAAAATGTCAATTTATCATAACTTTCGAAACTTCGCATTAACATTCTATTGAAGTAAAATCGCAACGTGAAAACAGACCGTGTGGAATGTCATGTTGTTGTTTAGAGAGTTTTTGATTTTGAAGAAGTTCCCGCGTTTAAGTTTTTTTTAACACTAGCACTAGCGTGCTACGCGCACGCTATTGTTATTTTTATTTAACGTGTTGTTAGTGAACACAACCTGCGATGACAGATAGTATATAGTCTTATAAACCATATAATACACATATAAGAAATGTCAGAAATAACACATGAAAATCAAACTTAAAAAATAGTGAGAGAGAGAAGTGGAAAAACAACACGTGACTAAAGTCACGTGACAGGGAAAAAAATAAAAAAGAATATTATATATATTATATGTAATATTCTATATCTATATATAATACACACACATACGCATATATGTATATATGTATATATATATACCGTAATCACGTGACCGAAGTCAGTAACACCGCCGCGGTCGCGCGGCCGAGGTCAGTGACCCCGCCAAAGTAGCGCGGCGGAGGTCAGTTACATTACTCTGTAGTATGTATATAATACATGTAATACAATATAAAGTATAATATTATAAAGATATGATAAATTATATTTTTTTTTTGCTGTAAAATAGATGCAGTGTTTGATATTGAAAATAAAGAATTTACCGCTTGTCTATATGTAGCAAAGAGAGATAAGATTCAACGAGAAAGAAGATCAATTAGATTAAATAATTGGATAACAATTAACATCTTATCGCGACACTCAATCGGATTATATAGAAGAGGAATAACGTTAATTGCTTATTAGATTAGATCAGAGATATAGCGGGTGGGACCAGATGTGAGTCTTTTTGTGTGTCACCTAAATCTATTTATAAGATCTTCTGATGACTCCCGCTAATTGCCTATCGGCCAAACTGCTTCAGTCCGACATTTTCTGCCAGGTTACGTATGTGGCCAATCTTTTTATTTTTCAGATTCTCGGGCTCCGCAAACATGCAGCTCAGGAAAACACTGCGATTGGCAATTTATTTATTCGATACAGTGCAGAAAAATTCGAATTCTCAAATGCATCATATTTGCAACTAATGATTTTTTTTTGTTTGTTTGTTTGTTACACATCGACGGTTTGTCTGAACGTCTGATCGGTTCGGACGTCTTCTCAATTTAAACGTAAGTCTCGCTTATTTTGACAAAAGTCAGTCTTTACCACTTATCGGGGTTGGCCCGATTCCCCGTTTCCATACATTTTCATACATTTCCGTACATTCCATTTCCATATATTTCCATTTCAGATAACAGACCGGTCTCACCATCTCCGATTAGCTTAATCGGCCGATTATTCCATTGGAATCGACCAATGGCGTTGAGTGTTCAGCGGAATTGATCAGTTCGGGGTTAATATTTGATCAATTATAGGTTCACGGTTGATATTTGATCAATTACAGATTAATCGGAGATGGTGAAATCGCGAGTTCTCGCGAAGTGTGATCGCGAACACGGAAAAAAACGTCGGTTGTCTACGTGGAATCATCTTTAACAAGAACAAACAACTTATTGCTGATATTTGTAATCGCAATATTTTTTGCAATCGCTGCGCGACTCCGCTTTCCCGACATCTCGCAAAAACGTAGGTAACGCACTTTTGTACGTGAACTACGTAAATATGTTGTGTAACTCGCGGTATATATAGATATGACAATGTTTTTTCTTCAATAAAAAGTTTCTCTATCACTTGTTGATACAAAGATATATAAATTGAAGAGATGAACAAGATGCGAGATAAATTAAGTGTAAAACAATTTATCAGTGAAGTGTGTCTGATACAGATTGATTGATGTACGACACGATAGCGTGTATATCTAATCTTTATTATGTTTATTCAAGTGGCAGATAAAATAACGTTAAATCGTATATTAACGACCACAAATTCGAGCTGCTTTACTTTCAACAAGTTCACCCGAGACGTTACGTCCGTGATCCTAAGATGCGGGGTGGATTTGTGATTTTCGCTCTATTGGGCCTTGTTTCTGGAAGTTTCGGTAAGGCCCGATCATCGTGTTGACACATTATACGCTTTATTATGATCACACGTACGACAATCCGGCAACAAACACATAGAGATTCAAATAACAAAACAAACAAAATTCACGAGGTACTCGACTCAAGATGTTCTACAGCGATTATATTTCCTGATTTTTATCGCGATAACAAGAGAAGCCCCGTCGCGAGAGTTTTCACTTTCGATGATTTCTTTTAAAACTGAGTAAATTTGATCATCATCGCTCGGCAAGCATTACAAGTGCTCGTCGACTTTCGAATCACCGTTGTTATCTATTGCTAACAGTTTTCGAGAAATTACAAACAAATTAAAACTGACTGAAAATCTCTCGCGGAGAGATCACTTCGTATTATTATTATTATTCTCGATAATCGAGGTTTTTCATCGCAAAAGGGAGAAAAGGATTCGGTCCTGGCGAGCAAGAATGGGGCTACGTCAAAGTGCGACCTTACGCGAATATGTTCTGGTGGCTGTATTACACCACGGCAAAAGTTAACTCGTATTACGACAGACCGCTGCTCATCTGGTTACAAGGCGGACCGGGCGCATCTTCGACGTCGTTTGGAAATTTCGAGGAACTGGGTCCTCTCGACACCGACTTGAATCCGAGAAATCACACTTGGGTAATAAATTGTTGACGCAGATTTTTTGGTCGATTTGTTCAATCGATTTGGTCGATAATCGTATATTGCGTGTATAAAGTTTTTCTATAAATATTTCATCGAAACAATAAAATTCACAAGTTGATATCAGATATAATATCTTATTTAAATTTGTGTGTAGTTTTTATAAATGTTATTAAAATAAAATAAAATTGGTGAATTTTTATGCTTTTTACAAATATAGTTTTCGATCGATAATTGTCACAGGTTAAAAACTACAACGTTCTCTTTATCGATAATCCCGTCGGTACCGGATTCAGTTACGTCGAACGCTTATCAGCGTACGCGACAACAAACAAACAAATTGCCGACGATCTTGTAGCGTGTATGAAAGGATTCTACCAACAACAGCCGAATTTCCGGAACGTATCGACTTACATTCTCACCGAATCGTACGGCGGCAAAATGGGTGCGGAGTTCGCGCTTGTCTGGGATCGTGTAAGAGAAAATAAAAGAAACAATTTTATCAAATATAAAACAAAAAAAAAAAAAAAGACACATTAAAAATTTTGCGAACATTTCTCAGGCTCAAAGAATTGGCACAATTAATAGTAATCTAAAGGGAGTCGCACTCGGAGACGCTTGGATTTCCCCCATTGACTCTGTAATGACGTGGGCGCCATTTTTGCTCCAGACGGTAGGTTGTTATGACACTTGTTAATTATTTTAAAACAATTATTACGCCAATGAAACCCGAGAGCTACTAAACAATTATTTTAAATTAACTTCACGGAGTAAAATTAATTGTTTACTTATTATTAATTTTAATACAAAAGTAAAATAATTATTTCACACCCAAGGTGCGCGTACACGTAAACTTTACACTCTACAGGGTATGGTCGACACGGAAGGGTACAAGATAATCGATGCCGCGGCGCAAGAAACAAAACGTATGGTCGAAACTGGCCAGTGGAACAAAGCGACTCAACTTTGGGCTCACACAGAAAACGTCATCGACAATCAGACTCATGGAATTGACTTCTACAACATTCTCACTCCGCAAAGTTATCACACACATAAGGAACGTTCGTTCTCTCTCGAACCAGGTACACACTAAAAAGCAAAACGCACAAGTGTGCGTTCTAATATCGTCGTTTGTAAATAATTGTGATGTTTTTCTTGATATATAGAGTATCGAATTAATTGTAATCGTGATAAATTGCAGAATCTATGTATCAACGTTTCGTCAATATTCAGTCTTACTCGCTTGACGACTTAATGAATGGTCCGGTGAAGGAAGCGCTCGGTGTTAACGTCACTCACGGCGAACATTCCGGAACGGTCTTCGTGAATTTACAAGAAGACTTTATGAAACCTGTTATTGACATAGGTATAATATAATATAACCAAAGAAAAAATCAACAGAACAAATTTTAATAAGTAAATCTACTTTTTTTTTTTTTTTTTTTTGCAGTGAACCAATTGCTCGATAAAACCAATTTGAAGGTATTCGTGATCACCGGGCAATTGGACCTGATTGTCGACACACCAGGTATGCGTCGCACAAAGATCTCATTAACATACGAAGACCACGGGGAAAGAACTTGATAAGTCACATTTTCGTAAGTTTAGAGAAGAGCGATTTTAAAGTTCAAAACGCACGTGTATTTCTCTGTACACGTTTTACAAAAATGCTTACATCTCGGAATCTATCTAGAATTTTCCGCTCTCTCGCTTTGGAGATAAGTAAAATACTCCATTTTAACTATCAAACAACATCAAAGACAGAAAATTAAAAAAAATGGTTTTGTCAAGTTCTTCTCCAGCGGTCATTGAAGTTGTCAAAAAAAAACTTGATGCGCTCGTTGACAACACATTTCAGGTACTCTTCTTTGGGTCGAGAAACTGAAGTGGAAAGGCGCCTTTGAGTGGAAAAATTCGTCCAGAGATCCCCTCGTAAGTCAATCCAACTTGATCGAGGGTTACAACAAGAACCACGTTAATTTCGGAATGTATTGGGTCAACAGAGCTGGACATATGGTGCGCACTTGCGACAGAACTTTTCTTTTTTGTATTTTCTGACACATTGTATATGTTTTTTTTTTTTTATATTTACGCCAGGTTCCGAAGGACAACCCAGACGGTATGAACGTTATATTGGAGCATTTGACGAGCAACGCGAAGTGAACGAAAGGCAGACTTTTATTTGTGGCTTTTAAATATGCGATTCAATATAACGACGCTTCATCTCTTTCGCAACTTTTTTTAAGAGAACTGCACGCGAGATTATAAAAAAACACGTCATCATATATTCATTCATTTATTCGAGAGAACAATTCTGATTACTTATATAATCATGTATGTCTGTAATATATTACAATTTTCACAGAGATATTTACACTTTTGTATTATATATTAAATGATGTACATATTATGTGAAATAAAAATTGTTTTTCTGCGCTATTCGCGTCAAAGTTTTAAATAATGCGCCAATCTCCCACCGCTCGTATTTTGGTTCGTTGTTTCCGATTCAGTCGCTCGGACGGCGCTGAAAACAGTGGTTCTCGAGATGCGAGTTTAAATCTCTCGATGATAACACGTGATAAAAGATGTGTCAACAATAACAATATTATAAAAATTATAAAAATTTTAAATTAAATATTGTTATTTTGAAAGATTGAAAAATGTATTGGAAGAGTAAATAGTAAATCTACGAAGAACATACAAGTTTTCAAATAATTGTCTACGTGTCTTTTAACCTAACAAGACACGTCAACTTCGACCGAAAAAGAACCGAACAAGTTTGTTAGTTCAATAATTTGTGTGAAATTTAATTTTGTAGATAGAAAAATTATATCTGAAGAGAAAGTAGACAAAGAGAAAAGATCATAGAAGAAAAAGTGAGAGCCTCAAAAAGATATATTTAAATAGTGCGGGAAAAAAATTAAACTTTGTGTGTTGAACTCTCACTTATAAACGTTATCTGAACTACTATGCTACGATTAGATAATATATCCGTTGATTAAAAGTGAATTTATACATCTAACTGTGAACATGGCATCTGGTGATAGCAGGCGTGTTGCTTTAATAACAGGAATTACAGGACAAGTAAGTCTGTTATCTCAAAGTTATTATTTTTTTTTAGCTATTTGTTGAGTAGATACAAACTTCACCTTGATTTTGACAATATATTTTTATTTTATTTATTTTTATCTATTTACAGATATTTATTAATCAGAGTACATCAAGTACACGCACGAAGTACATTCTGCCTGTACATAGATCTGATTCCACTATATAATAAAAAAGAAACAAAAGAAATAATTAAAAAAAAAAAAAAAAACAATATACAATAATATAGAATAACAAATTAACAAACAAAAACAAAAGAAATATAAATTTAATTTCTCTGTTTCAGTCTTATGCTTGTCTGAGTCCATCATGTATATGATAATATAACAATTAATAATAATGAGTTTTAAGCTCTTTTAGTTACAAACTGAACGAAATTTAAATGGCGATATGATAATATATTTGATATTTGAATGTTGCAAAACCATGTCACAGAACTTAACTCTTGATCCATTTCATGACTTTATTTTTATTCTTATTTTCATTGAATAGTCTTAAAACTTGAATATATTTTTTCATTGAATATTCTTAAAACTCCGGATCGAGAAAAAATAATACATTCACTACTTTTATAAATCTCTCTTCTTTTCTATTATTGCAGGATGGCTCTTATTTAGCAGAATTTTTGCTGGAAAAGGGATACGATGTACATGGTATTATTAGACGAGCCAGTTCGTTTAACACTGCTCGCATTCAGCACCTTTATGAAGATCCGAAATGTCATCGACAGGGCAAAATGAAATTGCATTATGGCGACATGACCGATTCTAGCAGTCTGATCAAAGTCATCAGTGCTGTACAGCCAACAGAAATTTACAATCTCGCAGCTCAAAGTCATGTCATGGTTTGTGTACATTAAGTATAATATTAATAATATTTTTATATATCTCTTGTGAAAATATTATATTACATGTACAAACTCGAGTTGTATAACATTTGCTGTCTTATATCATTACAGGTAAGTTTCGAAGTAAGTGAGTATACTGCTGAAGTGGATGCGGTAGGAACAGTGCGATTATTGGATGCAATACGCACGTGTGGATTAGAAAAATCCGTGAGATTTTATCACGCATCAACATCTGAGCTCTATGGTAATGTGGTGGAAGTTCCACAGAATGAAAAAACACCATTTTATCCAAGATCACCATATGGTAAGCAATACATAAAATAATACATCAATATACATAAAATATTAGACATATATTGAATACAATTTTTTGTTAAGAGAAGATTCTATTTTAGCTTGTGCAAAGTTATATAGTTTCTGGATCGTCGTGAATTATAGAGAAGCGTACAATATGTTCGCGTGCAATGGGATATTATTTAATCACGAGAGTCCGCGAAGAGGAGAGAATTTTGTTACAAGAAAAGTGACTAGATCTATAGCGAAGATACACTTGGGTCTTCTGGATGTGCTTGAGTTGGGAAATTTAGATGCAAAGCGAGATTGGGGTCATGCCAAAGATTATGTTGAGGTCGGTAATTTTATAATAGATTAAATTGAAGTTTTCACAGATTTCTTTATGTAATGTTTATTGTATATGATGCAGGCTATGTGGTTGATGCTTCAACAAACACAACCAGACGACTACGTTATAGCAACGGGTGAAACACATAGTGTACGAGAATTCGTGGAAACGGCATTCCAATATGTAGGTCGCACAATTAAATGGGAAGGCGAGGGTATAAATGAGACGGGTCAGGATGCACAAACTGGTCAAGTATTGGTTCGCATCAATCCAAAATATTTTCGTCCAACGGAAGTAGTAAGATATCTTTTATATATTGGAAAGTTTGAGAAATTTTTAAATCACACATACACAGGTGAGATAATAATACTTGTTTATTAAATAGGATATACTTTTGGGTGATGCGTCCAAAGCGAGAAACAAATTTGGATGGAAACCAAAAGTGACGTTTAAGGTAATTTATATTGTTTCACATGTCTCTTTGCCAGTTAACATCTTTTCTTTTTTAAAGAATTATTTCTAATATATAAAAGATATATATATATATATATATATATATATATGAGAAATGTGTTAAACTAAATTAACATATATATTGATAATTTTATATGTATATACTTTTTTTAGGAACTTGTAAAAGACATGATGGACTCGGACCTGGAATTGATGTCCAAAAATCCGAATGCTTAACAATCTTTATCGTTTAAATTGTGATATTGCCGAATATAATTCCGATGTATTTTTATTCCATGAGAGAAACAGTATTTAAAAATTTTTATCCACTTTGTATATAATTCCTTTTATATAAGCCTAAAAAATTATGAAAAGATTTTTACTGATTAGTATAATTAATGTATAACTGTGCAATTGAAATACATAAAATGAAATACATAATTAATATATAAGATAAACACTCTACGAACATTCGAAGTTTTTCTTTTGAAAATTAAACTGCTCTCGGTGAATGTGTCATCAAGAGAGAAAACAAATTGAAAAGAATGTTCTTTTTCGTACATTTGTATAAATTATTCTCAAACAGAAAATATATCAGATCTTAATAGAATTCATATATGTATAATTGATATAAAATAAAATAAATATCGAAAACAGAAAATAATGTAAAACGTAATATTCATTGTAAACAAATCCTATATATTCTATGTATCAAAATATATAAGCTCTTTCAACCTTCCCAATGATTTATTTTGTTGTGTTTACGTACAGATCCATTTATAAGCGACTGTTTTGATATTTCGACTTTCAGTTTGAATAATTCTTCGATCAAGTTTTATCTATAAAGAAGTCGGTTTTGTCTAAAAGAAGTGCAAAAATTGAGTTATCATATCTTTCTGCTAATATTTTGTATTTATTTAATTAAAAAATGTGTGTAAATACGTTCGTAATAAGTACGCTTATTACGGGAATAAGTGTATTTTGTTATTATATTTTAAATGATGAAAACAGTGACAATAGTGAGTAAACTCAATGTGCCACATGACATGAGATTTGTATAATTTGTATATACAACGTGAAGTAATTTATATATATATTAATATTTTTTATACATATTTTACATGCACAACAAATCTTTTTACAAAACGCAAGTAGTATAACTACTTTATATAATATTTCTTATTTAGATAATGATGATAACAAAAATCAAACCGATATTGAAAAAAATCAAACGATATTAAAAGAAAATCAAATGATATTAAAACCTTCACGCAAATTACGCGAAGAACAAAATAACGAAGTAAATTCACCTGATTCGCAAGATCACGTGAAAATGTACGTAAAACCGCGTGATAATAGCCATTTATTGGTAATGTATGTACCTTGTAAATATTTTATATGTACACAAGTATTTATATATAAAAACACAAATATTTTATTTTTTAAACTTAATATATTTACTTTACTTATATGTATTAACTTTAAAAGATTTATTAAAACTTGCTTTTAACGGGATTCTTATTCAAATTCCATATTAACTGTTGTGATTGCAGAACAAGAGTTCAAGATGCAACATTACTCAATACGTTATTTTCTAGTGAACAAAATATTATAGCCTCAACACTTATAAGCCAACCAAGTGGATTAGCTGCAACATCTTCGCAGTCGAATAACGTACAATACGATAAAAGCAGGTAGTTTTTTTTTCTCGAACATTTTAATTTCATCAATTTTGTTTTATCTAAATAAATGTGATGTGTATATTTATGTCATATGTTATATGTATAATTTTTACTAGATTTAGACGTTTGTGTTAATAGGTCCAGTATAGAAAGACATGACAAAACGCAGTATAAAGATATACCAAGTACATTTACATGTCCACATCGTTTGCGACAAAAATCGCAAACAAGAGTAAACAAACCATCGTTATTTAACAAACTTACAAGTTTGTTCAAGTTTAGATGTTTTGGTAGTACTTTCAATTAATATGTGCGACATATATTTATCTAAAATCATAGATGTCTTTATATATTAAAAATCACATGTATTAACGCATATAATGTAATATATAATGTACATGTATATTAACATATATAATGTAAATGTATTTTTATGAAATCACATATATGTTAACACATATATGTAATAAATATAAAAACATAAATAAATAACAATAACACACAAGAGTTCATAACGTCAAACAATTAATTTTATCTTGGTTATCGATTTTTTTTTCACTCTGAATTCAATTCAGATCCGAATCATTTGTAAATAAATCTGTTCGCGTTATTTGAATCGTTATTCTAGTTTATAACAAAATCGAGAATATCAATGTGTGTGCTCTGTATCATTTGATTTTTATACACTTTTGCGGTTGCAGAGAAAAAGACAATTAGTAGTAAAACGTCTATTCTTTGTTACATTTTTCTGTTTCTTCTTTTGAGATCGTAAAAGAGATCGTAAATTCGTTGAATTTTATCACATCCCTTCGTCCGTAGACTGGGTCTTCCAGACCCACTCAAAAATTGCGCATCGACGTTTCTAGAAAAAAATAAAATTTTTTAAAAATGCTTTTATCTTCGAAACTACTGGAGATTTTTTCAATGTTTTTTTTATCAACGCAGAATCGTTCAAACTTTCGATTTGAAGAAAAGAAATTGAACAAATATTGATTTTTCGCAAAGATATATTCAATCTTGAAATTGCGTAGGCCTCACAAACCCAGTCTACAGTTTTTGTAGGGTTTTTTTTAAGTCTACAGTCGAAGAGTCACTGATCTCGGCCGCGCGGCCTTAGTGGGGGCGGGTCACTGACCTCGGGCGCGCGGCCTTGGTGGGAGGAGGGGTCACTGACCTCAGTCGCGCGACCGCGGCGGGGTCAATGACCTCAGTCGCGCGACTGCGATAAAGTCACTAACCTCGGCCGCGCGACCGCGGCGGTGTTACTGACTTCGGTCACGTGATTACGGTATATATATATATATAAATATACATATATGCGTATGTGTGTGTATTATATATAGATATAGAATATTACATATAATATATATAATATTCTCTTTTTTACTCTTTTCCCTGTCACGTTTTCCTATCACTGATCAATCACGTTGGTCGATTGGCTGATTTGACTCTGCAATTGGTCAATTCCACGAGATCTGCTACTTGCATTTAATGTAGAACGGCCTTTCGAGTTCCACTTTTGTCGAAATACGGCTAAAACCAGCGGCTGAAACCGTCGTAAGAAACTACAATGGCATGGCCGCTCTCAGGCTTCTCTCTGGTTGCAAACTAAGCAAAAGTTCCTAGTGTCACTCAAAAAACGGTAACCTAACCTAACCTAACCAACGTTGAAAATCTAACCTTGTGCGTGACTTCCGCCATCTTTCACAAATACGAAAGACCGCGAATGTATTTTCTCTTGTAAATGAATTAAATAATTCTATAAATTGTTTATTTTGGAACTAATATTCCGATAACACATAGTGACAGAAAAATGACATCGGCGTTAGAATCCATGGTAGTTGACGAAAAGCAGCTTCCTGAAAAGCCGGTAGACAGAGAAAAGGTGAGTGTAATGAAATAACAACAGTTTTCTAGAAACATCTATTGTAAGTTAATGACAGAAGAATAGGTAATAATTGATATTATCCTTCTATCTGCGTCTTGACGCATCAGTAGTAACAATTTTACAGCACAGATGATACACTTGTACATATTTTCTATATTTGTTTTTGTATTGCAGACATGTCCACTTCTACTTCGAGTGTTCTGTAACACTGGACGTCATCACAATATTGTGGAGTACAGTAGAGGGAATGTTCCTGCGAATGAACTACAAATATATACATGGTAATATTCTTACATATTTAGATTGTAAGACATTTACTTGTATTGCGTAATTATTGTTACTTCACTGTCAACACTTAATCTTTATTTGAGAGATTTTGTCTAATGTTCTGACTATTTTTGTACGAAGGATGGATGCTACTTTACGAGAAATTACAGGATTAGTTAAAGAAGTAAATCCAGATGCTCGGAGCAAGGGAACATATTTTGACTTTTCATTAGTGACTCCCGAACTACGTAATTCTGGCTATCGTATGCGTGAGATTGGTGTCACATGTTCTGGTCAGAAAGGTGCTGACGACAACAAAACACTTGCACAAGCAAGGTATAGAAACATTAAATACTTAGGAAAGCTATTATATATTTTTTATATCTGCATATAATATATATATATTTATTTATATATAAAAATGTATCTTTATGTGTCTGATTACAGATTTACAATAGGAGATTACTTGGACATATCAATAACACCACCAAACAGGATGATGCAAACAGCATCAAGACGTGGTGGACGTCAATATTAGAGTATAATAATTTCAAAAGTTAAGATATATATATATATATAAATAAATAAATTATAAGACTACATTTTTACTTAAAAAAATAGATGATGTAAAATACATATGTAATTAACCACAACCTTCCAAAACTTTTATTGAAATAGTATTTTGTATTAGAATTTAAATGATCACTCAATTTTTTCCTTAAATCCATCGCATTATATACTAGTTCCTGTTCTTGTGGATATTTTGTGTATACACATAAATGTAACATTTGAAAATATAATTTTCTTAAATTATCTATCCCTATCCGTGAGTCTGTTTTCTAAGATACTCTTTTTCCAAATTGAACAAAAAATTCACCTGGTATCACAATATAAAATAGTTATAAAATCGACTCTCACGTTCAGAGAAAATATTTTTATTTATTGCCAGTATTGAAAATTTGCAATTCTCGCGTTACATAGATTTTCAAAACTGTCAATAAATAACGCGAAAATAGCGTCTGTAAAATATGTCAGTTTTACTATTATATAACACTGTCTATTTTTAGACTCTGAGTACAATAAAGAAAATATTAGGAATAAGAATTAGAAATAGAAGTTAAATGTATTATTTACAAAAACTAAAATATAACATAAATACAGGAAGTATGTCATGGCTGCTGATATACAGCCTATAGTTATATACATTTATATGTTATATTTTATTTTTTCGCATTGTGTATTATATATTTAACCTCTGTTTTTAATTCCTATTTCTAATATTTTCTCTATTGTGCTCAGACCCTACTGACAAGTAGGTATCTGCGAAGTAAGGAAGTAAAGATGGCGGCTGTTGTTGACTTCGGGTATCAGTAGAAGAAATAATGATCAAAAACTAACTAATGAATAATGATAAAAGTGAAAAACATCGATTTTGTGCGAAGATTTCACCAAGCAAGTGAAGAATTTTGGAAAGATACGTAATGATGTATAATTGAATATGTATGGCGATAATTGTTGCAATTCTCGAATTTAATTTATTAATAAGCCGTAGTAAGTAAATCTCAAGGTAAATTTTATTGAGTTCTTCTTCATTTAAAGTTATTATCATTATATATCCATATATTATATTAAAGTTATTGTCAGTATGTGATATAATGATATAATAATAATCTATATATATATAGTTAAATTTTTAAGTGATTTTTTTTGACGCAATATATCAGTTTTAAATTGTAGAGAATTGAAACATTAACATTTTCTTTCTCTCTCTTCACAAAATTAATCTTTTGCGAAACAAACATGGGTCTTCCACACTCACGCAAAAATTATGTATCGACGTTTCGAGAAAAAATTAGTTTTTTTAAACGTTTATGTTTTCGAAACTTCCATTTTTTTATCTTGTTAAATTTAAGTTAGATCTAATCCATTTTTTCCCGGGTATATACACGAAATATCCACAAGAACAGAAAATAGTATATAATGCGATAGATTTAGGAAAAAAATTAAGAGTAATCATTTAAATTCTAATATAAGATACTATTTCAATAAAGAAATTTGTTTTTTATCGACGCAGAAACGAATCAAACTTTTGATTACAAAAAAAAAAAAAACAAAATTGACAAAATACATATACATATATATATATATTTGATTTTACGAGAATATATTTGATTTTAAAGTCGCGCGGATCTCACAAATCCAACTAGTCGTCATTTTTGAAGTCTGTCCACAAAGGGTTAAAAAAAAAGTAGAACGAACGCGATGTGGAAAACTAAAATAAGAACCGTTGCACGACTTTACGAAATATGTAAAATCTAAGATAAAGTTGGTCTCTCTCTTTCTCTCGTCTTTTTATTTTCCTGACGTCGGGTTTTGTCGGACGAAATTCTTGCGCAATGTCCTCGTTTCTTCGCTCTCTCTGTATATTTTCGATCAAATCCACAAGGACGCTCTCTGTTCTCTATGCATCATTGAACACAAACGTCTTGCATTCACAATATATTCTCTTTGTTATTGCAAACGACGTGACTTTTTTCAAACACGCTATCTATCTATCAATTAAATAAAAAAAAAAAAAAAACCTACGTGACCAGAATTGTCCCGGAAAGCTTTGTTATATATGTACGTCTCAGCGAGAAAGTCGCCGTTTTTTTTTGACACAACGAAGTCACTCCCACTCGAGGGGGAAGCGTCCATTATTCGCGAAGTTTCCTTCTGATAAAAAACGTTACCACCCCCTCGACCGCGACGGCACCAATGAAATTGCCGGCTCGGTGGCGCAGAATCCGCGAAATTCATCCCCTTGGTCACCGCAGCCGAATCCGATTGGCGGAGAATTCAATCCAATCGGATCCGCCGTCCGTTTTATTGATCCCGGGGAGTAGGAATTGTTGAAAGTTTTTTATTGAGCAGAGTTGTAAAGTGCTTTATGACCGGCGTAAAGCGGCCGGCCGCGTTATACGATAGCGAGGGATGAGTTATTAAAATTGCTCGGGACGCCTCGATGCGTCCGCGAATTAATGCACGCGATTTCTCGAAACGATCGATTAAGATCGCGCATGAATTGCTCTCTGCAGTTTAACGATTAGAGTTTTACTCGGAATTGTGGAACGCGAATTGCGTTTTGCAAAAATTATTGCGTCGTCTCAACATCGCTACTCTCTTCAAAAAGCGTTTTTTATTATCTCAGTTGTTAACATAGTGTCTCTTTTATTCGAAAATGTTTGCGAATATTACGTTTATTGTTTTTTCTTTAATATCGCGTTTCTCGCGATTTCACCACATCGCGTGTGTGTATGCGTTTGCGCACGATGACGGCTTATACGCGATTGTGACGAGATGGATTTTCAGAACAAGAGCGAAAAAACTCGGAGAGCGGGATTTTTTCGCCTTGTGATAACAGTTTACAGAAAAATTAGCGGCACTTTACTATGCAAACAAGCGTCTCCCGCGTGGACTGTAAGCGCGCGAAGTTCCCTTCGATGTCGAGGCTAAAAAAAAAAATCTGTATAAACACTCTTCGTAGAAAAAAATACGATCTCTTTTCAATAACAGCTGCGAGAGACGCAGATGTACATTTTTCCAAACCTGAACAAACACTTCGGCGTCGAAATCGCGACGAATTCCACGTTCGAATGCGCACGAAACTCATTACAATCAATTTTATTCAATAACAACATTCAGCAGAGACAGACAACTAGAAATTGAAAAGTTAATAAAACGATTGATGCAACGTACCTTATTTAACTTTTCGCGGACAGACACGGTTATCTTCTAGACCCACTCAAAAATTGCGCATCAGCGTTTCTAGTAAAAATGAGTTTTTTTGAACGTTTATATTTTCGAAATTACTAAAGGTCTTTTCGAAATTTGTTTTCTTATTGACGCAAAATTGTTCAAACTTTCGATTCAAAAAGACAAAAGTGAAAAAAAAAAATTGAATTTTCGCGGATATATTCGATTTTAAAGTCACGTGGGTCTCACAGACCCAGTCTGTTTGACTCGTAGGTCACTTTTGAGGTTTATTATTTACCAATGACCAGACATATATGTACCAACGGCCAGAAGTTTATTAAAGAAAGTAAATTATTACAGATATGTAAATATTAATCAACTAACAATTCTCATAATATTTTAAGTAATTTTTAAAACATATGTTTAATTATTTTTTTCACATGTGTAAATCGTTCGCTGTAATTATTTATTTCTTCAATAAAAATGTCTGGTATATTGTTATCTAAATAAACTTGTTTTTCTGACTCTAATCTTGAAAAAAAAACCGAAGAAATATGAAGCAGAACTTTGATGTGCGCATCGATTCATCCTCGTAGTATCCAATCGCTGATAACACAAACGTATTTCGCATAAACGCGTGTGCGCATATCGCGTTCCTGCTGTGACAAATCAAAATATATCTCGTCGATGTGCGCGAAGACGGGGGTCCGACGATTATCTTCTAATAGATTCTTTCGGATATACACGCGCGCAATTCGCGTTGATTTATACAACGGGGGGAGTGCACGCGGTAGAGAGAAAAGAGATGATTTAGGGCGCGTCGCGTTAGTCTGCACGGACGAAAACGTAATTCCACGAACGATTTGCTCGATCGAATTGCCGAATATCGTATATGTATCGATTCGATTGATTAAAAGCCCTCGACCCGATTGAAAGTCATATATACACGCGTTCGATAGGGTTCGTTGCCCCCTTTCGTCGACTTTGCTACAACCCACCGTCTCTGTATGTGAGATCGGCCGACCCCCTTCGCTGAGAAAGACAAGTAATTTTATTCATAAGCGATAAAAATAATTTTCCACAAACGAAGGTTAATCAAGAAGACCCCCGTATCAATTTTTATCGGAACAGTCTCGTAAAAATACGTAGAACGTATTGGGCTGGTCGGAAAGTCTCTCTCGTATTTTAATACAAGAATTTTAATACGAAAATACGAAAAGACTTTCTGACCAAAGCCAATAAAAGCACACGCTTTATTTTTTAGATCGTCAAACGACACAAATAGCGGTGGGTGTAACGCGCGCTGCTATCTTTTCAGATATTTCGCTTTTCTTTCTTTCTTCTTCATGAAAATTCTCTTAACGCGCGTAATGCGCGCGATGAGTAGTCGGCGGCGATGATGACGCGGCGAGTGTGCGTTTCCTCGGGGATTATCGAACAACATTGTTCCAAATTACAAGAACAAAAAGCTCGCGCTCGAGACCCTTTGAGGAAAAAGAAGAGGAAGTCGCGCGATGCTCCGCCGCGCCAAGAGGAACAAAAGGAATATATATTATATGGCAAAAAAAAACGAAGACCTGAGCGCGGAGATGATGACATTTATAATCTTACGCAAAGAGCAGGGCATAGATCAGCGATGTTTTTGCTCGGTTGGAAGGGGATCTCCCTTTCGCGGAGACGGTGAATTCGGATTTAATTATTATTAATTGTCTTTCTCTCTTTTCGTCGATGATCGCAAGGGTGGCGTCACGCGCAGTCACTTGCGACTTTTACAGTTCAGCGAAATGAATTAATGTGTTCTTGTTTTTTTATGTTGTTTGTACATAACATTGAATAACTTTACACAGTAAAAAAGAAAATGTTAATTTTAACATTTTTTGCATGTCCCAGGAGGTCTACTCTAAATTTTAAGTTAAAGTAACTCATTCGTTGTGAGTCACTTATTAACAAACTAGTAAAGTCAAATAATTGACACAGTATTTTACATTTATATTTGTTATTTTGACTGTAAGAGCGTGATGTAAAAATAACATATAAAATAATTAAAAACTACACAAAACAGT